GGCCTTGGGGACGGCGCGGCTACATTCCGGCGCGCACGGCCCGCCCCGCCTCGCCACGCGGGACCCCAGCCTGGCTTCCACCGCTGCCGTCGGAACCGCTCGGGCCAGGCAGGAGGACGCGAGGTTGTGTGGGACGGGGCCGGGACACTTGCCCCGGCTCTTAAGGGCCAAACCCAGCCCACATCAGACGCGGGCCGGGACCCTGGCAGCGCCCACTACAGACTCGGCCTCCGCCAACCAGCACCCCGGGATGTCTGCGTTCGCTTCCCGGCCAAACTTGTGCGACCCACCCCGGACCTTTTTCCGGGAAACCCGTGGGCGGGAGTGTATTTCGTTTAGACCGCACCGCGACCTCCGAGGCTCCGGGCCCCCGGGCTGGCCGGCGGCCGGGCCGACTTCTCCCGCTAGGGGCCGGCGAAAGCCTAAGGTGTGTCCCCGGCCGGGCCAGCGCGGGGCTCTGCGAACTTCTTTCCCTCTTAAACGTCCTCTCCCCCCCCCCATCGCTCCCTTTCCTCTCGTTCTTTTCTTCTGCTTTCTCTTTCTCTCCCTTTTGTGAATGGGCCGCGGTGTCTTTGTTCTAGAGAGAAGCGCCCGTGTCGCTGACTTTTGTGAACCAGAGAAGGATCTTGTAAAACCTCCTTTTCTCCTCCCTGTCCCCCCCACTCACACCCCTCCTTCCCTGCCTCTTTGATTCGATGTTCCCTCATCGTTAAAAGGGGGAAAAATGTAATTTCGTTGGTCTGGCGGCCACTTTCTTTGAACATTAGCTCGCTTTCAGCTCCAACTTCAATTAGAAGGAGTTGATTTTGAGAGATCAACAAAAGAACCGACCAAAGCCTTATTAAAGGTCCTAAGAAGATCTCCCGGGTCCTTTGAGAAGCAGTTAAGGAAACAGTGTGCCCTCCATCATATTCTGTTACCGTATTTTATTCGGACTCCAAAGGAAAAGTGTCGCTTGGGGGAGGGGGAAGCACTTTGATGAGCGACGGCCGCAGCCCCTTTTCACTCGGCGCCCCCCCCCGCCCGAGCGCCGGGTCAGCCCGGTGCCGACCCCGCGGCCCGCGCGGCGCGCCCGGCGGCCCCGACTCGCCCTCGCGCTCACGGAGCTCAAACTTTTCCTGCACCTATGGGAGTGGGGGGTGGGGGCGATGACAAGGCTGGGGTAGGAATTCCTCGAAAGGTAGAAAAGTGGTCCCTAATATTCAGTAGGAGGTGCCATTGAAAAGAATCGTCTGGCTCAGGGTTGGGTCGAAAACCTTTTCTTTTTTCCCCCTCTCCTTTCTTTTCTCCCCCAAGCTTTGAGAAGTCCAACACTGGTAGACGTGTTTGGCAAGTTTGTTCCACGGAGCATGGGGTTTGCCAGTTACGGACTAAACGGGAAAAATCGCTTCCAGAAGGCTTCTGGAGTTTGGGGCGGGGGAGGGGGATTGAGGAGCCGGATTGGGGGCGGGGGTCCGATGGATCCGTTTTCCCGCGGATCGTGTCTGCTGGGTGGAGACGTGGAAGGAAACAAGTGTGAAAAATAAAGTTTCCTACCCCAAAACCCTACGATTGAGAAGAAAGCTGTATGAGTGAGGGGAAAGAGACCTGGGTTCCAACGGCTCAGAAGAAGACTTTAAGATGTGCGAAGACCCCCGGAGGGGCCGGGGCCGTCTGGAGACGCCCAGGCGCTGGTGCGTGGCGGCGCGTCCGCGGCGCGCACTCTTCCCGGGGCGCCGAGCAGGGATCGGCGCGCCCCGAACTGCTCCCGCGCTCTGAAAAGTAGTCTGCGCGGGCAGCAGCCGCCCCCGGCGCCGGTCGGCAGGTGGAGACTCGGAGGAAGCAGACACAGGGGCCCACGGCGCCGCGAGAGGGGCCAGGGGCCCGCGTTCCTCCAGCCCGCCGCCCCCGAACCCTCGCGCCCACACCCTGGCTGCGGAGCCCGGAGCCGCGCGCGCGCGCGGGAGAGGGGGGGGGAGAGATAGCGAGACAAGGAGGGGGGGGGTGAGAGAGAGAGAGAACCGAGTATCCAGTACCTCGCCCCCTCTCTCTGCCACTCTCTGAGAAGCGCCGAGAGGGCGAGAGAAGGGCAGGGGGCCCCCTAGGCAGGCCTCGAAATCCGAGGGCTCTGGGCTTTGCCCAGCTCAACTCGCTCTGCGCGGAATTCGCCAGCGGAGCCCCGGAGTTAGCGCGCGGCCGGGGCGGGGCGGGGCGGGGCGGGCGGCGAGGGCGGGGTGTGGGGGGCGGGGGAGGGCGGGGGCGCGCGGAGGTAACCCCCGGCTCGCGCAGCCATTGCCCGGCTCCTTGTCACTCAGCCCGCGCAGGGCCCCCGATTGGCGGCCTTGCCCCATTACGCACTCGCCTCGCGTTCACATACCCGGGGAGGGCAGTAGAAAGGTGATCAATCTTCATCAGGCTACATTTCCAATCACCTAAACAACAGAGCAAGACAAGCCACTCCGACAAGGTAAATCGCTTGATTTATTTAGTTTGCCAAATGACTCTGCAGGACTTCCCCGGTCGGTCCTCACCGCCTCCGCTTAGCACGGGGAGTGCAGCGGCAGCCGCGGGCCGCCCCCAACTCTGCCCCTGGCATCCCCCTCCTCCCCCTCGGCGGCCCCTCCGCATGGTCCCCGGCTGGGCACTGTCCGGTCCTGGAAGCGTGTGGGGCTTTTGCAAACAAAAGTGTTTATGCAATAAAGTGAAACCTGGAGGGACACGCACAAAGCTACGGGAAAAGGAGAGGGAGAGAGAGAGAGAGAGAGAGAGAGAGAGAGAGAGAAGGAAGTTGGGGGAAAGAAAGAATCCCGGGGTCTTGGGCCGGCCGCAGGAGTAATCCCTGCGCCCCTCTGTTTTGCAGGTTGGTTGCCCGCAGGGGCACAGAGAGGGCGTGAGGTAGATGGTGAGCCGCCCCGGCAGCTGAGGGCAGGTAAGGAAAAGGCTGTGGGGCCGCGCGGGACTCCGGGATCGCGTTGGTTACTTTGGCCTCCCCCCCTCCCTCCTCAAACCGACCCACGCAGCTTCCCAGGTCCTCGCCAGGTGGGCGGGGCTGGGGGGGGTGACCCCACTCCTTTCCCGAGTGCGGCGGGGACCCCAGATCGTTAGTGCGCCCGGGCGCCCCCTCCCCCCCCCCGCCTCCTCCGAAGTAACCGAGCTGGGGTGCTAAGTTTGGAGAAAGTCTGAAAACTCACCGTGCACCCTCGCAGAACGGTGGTGCCGTGAGAGCTGTTTTCCTTTGGCTTAAGAGCCAGCCCCGGATGGTTTCCTTTTCGCCCCTTTCTCCACAAGCTGGGCCCAAGCCCGTGAGTCCCAGAGGACGGGGGTGGGGAGTGGGGATGGGGAGCTTCTTTAGCCCAGGCTTCTCTCCCCGAATTTCCTAGCCTGGGTTCCCGGCCTGCTTTGCAGGATCCCCCGCGAAACGGGTAGAAAGAGAAGGCCTTCCACGGCCCCAGCCCCGCACCCCAGCACCCCTTCTTTACCCCCTGAGAGGAGCGCCACGGGTTGAGAGCAGCTGCAGAAGCCAGCCTCGACCTCCCAGCTCTGTTCGGAGCCAGCTTTACCGCTTGAGGCCTAGATCTGTCGTTTGGGTCGGGTCCTGAGGCCTCGGGCTCAGGTAGCAGAATGGCAGGGAACGCACACGACCTGCTGTACCCAGGCTTCCCCCAATCCCCGAGAGCCTTTGACGCTTTGGCCGGGTCAACCTTGCTCTTCTGAAGAGACTTGGTAAGGCACGGCCAGACTTGGTTACCAGAAGGCTCCCCCTGCGCCGCCGCGAAGAAGGGCGGTGGGCCGCATCTGTGCACCTCTGACCTCGGGCGGCGGCGGCTTCTTAGAACTGCCACTTCTACACCGGCCCCTTCGGCGCTCTCTGTCCACCTGCGAGGGGCCTGAGCCGTAACTGCGTTTGGGGCACCGGGAGGGGGGGGGGACTGTGGGTGAGCCTTCCTTTAGTAGTGATAGACACGGGGCGGTGATTGCGGGGGACACTGGCAACAGCGCAGGCCTAGAGACCTTTGAAAGAGCGAGGTATCCTACGTGGGCATTGTATCCCCAAGAGCCTTAGGTAAAGCTAGCCAGCCTTCCGGTCTCACCTTGGCCTGCTGTAGTACCTACCTTTTTTGCCCTCCTCTTAATAAACATTTGAAACGAAACGAAACAACCCTTCCTGGGTGGCATGGCGAGAGAATATTTGCTTGAACAATACGAAGCTCGAACTCAAAATGTTGCCTGTCCTTGGGATCTTGCACCCTTGCAGGTTCGGGCTCTAACCTCCCCAGCCAGGTCGCTTTTTTTTTTTCTTCCCCTAACCCCTCCTCAGTCTTGTCTACACCCTTGGCCCAAACCAAGCTGGAAAAGAGGCCAGGACAGCCAGAAAGAAGTTTACTTTTTACAGAAGCCATGCGTGATCGCTCAGCCAAGGCCTTGCGAGGGACTGACTGCCTTGGGCGGTTGCACAGCCTGCCTATCCTGACCAACCTGGACGCTGAAGGAGTGGCTGGAAGCTGAGTGTTGGTTTTGATGTGTCTCTTGTTTCCCTTAGGCCAGGCCCCCAGAAGAAACGACTTCGAGGTGGGAGCTCTGAGCTGCTCCTAGCCCTAGGCCCCCTGGATCCGTCTGGGCACCTCCATCCAGCTGTTAGCATGATGTCTTACCTCAAACAACCTCCATATGGCATGAATGGACTGGGCCTAGCCGGGCCTGCCATGGACCTCCTACACCCCTCTGTGGGCTATCCGGGTGAGCAGTGGCCCTTTGACCATACACTTTAGTCTCTGAAAATGTTTGAGTTCCCAGACTCTCAAGTTTGAGCCTGTGTTGTCTCTGAACGGGATAGGGGAGACCCGCTGCAGGCCCCAGAGTTAGAGCCGCAGGCCCGTGTGGTGGCCAGGACTTTGAAAGGCCCCAGTGCACATAGAGAGCTAGTAGTATTGGCAACCTCTCTCCTATTGTGGGCTCCTCCTTGTACAGTGTTTACCCCAGATTCGTTTCCTATGCGCCGCTATTGTTTTGTGGATCTATTTCTCTCTGCCCTCCATCCTCAAATGAGGAATCTGGTCACCCCTAGGCCGTGACGTTAAAAGCAAAAGTTCCCTTATTGGACTTGTTGGGTTGAACAGGAGAAGGTCGAGGGTGGTGGCTTCCTTTTCTAATCAAACTGTCCCTTACAACCAGTGACCTGCACCAACTTTTGTGCTGGTATGGAGGATTGCTTCAACTGAGTCTTGTGTTTTTTCTCTGGCTCCTACTCTTTTACACTCTTTTATTTGCCCTGAAAGTGTTGGGTTGTTTTTTAAGGTGGTGTTTTCTGCACACCTCTTGTCCCCAGCTAGGGAGTTGGTGGCTGTGTAGGGAAATGTGAAGGAAGGGAAGTTGTGTGGCTTCTCTTCCTTTTAAACCTCAGAGCGGCGGGGAGGGAGCTAGCTCTCCTGTCTTGGAGTGGAATAGTGGCACTTTCTCCCACCTGTGGCCTTTAGGCTGGTCCTTCAAGGCAGATTCTTTTGCTCGGGGAACTAGGCCTTTGCTTACAGTGGCCAGGTTCTAGGCCTGTAGAAAGGGGACCTGCCCAGGGCTGCTCGCGTCAGTCCACGTGGCCAGCGCTGACCGGAGGCGCCTCTGCCTGTCCCCGCAGCCACCCCGCGCAAGCAGCGGCGGGAGCGCACCACCTTCACGCGCTCACAGCTGGACGTGCTCGAGGCGCTTTTCGCGAAGACTCGCTACCCTGACATCTTTATGCGCGAGGAGGTGGCCCTCAAGATCAACCTGCCCGAGTCCAGAGTCCAGGTGCGCGCTCCTGGTGGGAGGGCTGCCAAGAGCCAGGGCCCGACGGGAAGGGTCGTGGGAGGGTGGTCTGGGGTGGGGGCAGAAGTATAGGCTGGGCAGCCCCTCACGGACTCCCTCTAGCGCTGGGCGTCAGCCAGAGGGGGAACAAATTTGAACGATTTGGATTCAGTCCTTGGCCCTCCTTCAAGTGTGCAGAGTGGTTGTAAGGATTTCGGGGGTACAGGTAGGCTCCTAAAGTCACAGGCTCCTGCGTGCGTCCCCCACGTGGCCGCGCTTCTTCCGCAGCCCCAGGACTCAGTGTGTCTGGGGAGGCCTGAATTGGGTCTGCGCCCTTCCCCGCGGCGTGTCCCGCCTCGCTCGCCCGCAGTCCTGGGGCAGAGCTCGTCTGGAGCCTGGTGCTCCGCCCGGGAGTGTGTCCCGGGAGTGGCGGCAGCCTGAGCACACACTTTCTTTGCCCGGAGCAGTTGCCGAGTGTAAAACCTGGCTGCCGGCTTTGCTATTTCTATTTTTGAGATGAAAGCGCTCCGAAAATACAGTTTGGATTAGAACTCAGAACTCTCTGAAAGGGTCTTTTGTCTCGCCCTCTTTCCCTAGAGGCTGGAAAAAGGACCAAGAATGAAATGCTGGGTATTCCAAGAGGAGTGGGCACTTTATGACTGGCTATTCTATTTGGTTCCCTACCTAAATACTCCAAACAAACCAACAACGAAATATCACCCAGGCTTCCTTCCCAAGAAGCCCCAGTACTGGAATAGTGCCTCGGTTTCCCCTCCAGCCTCGCTTCTTCTCCCACCTAAACCTTCCCCCCTGCCCCGGCCCCCTGTGGGAGCCGACTGAGTGTCACCCGCCGGGCCCCAGACTTGGTGACTGCCCCGCACTCCTGCGCTCTATCCACGCAGAGAAAACGGGGCTCTCCAAACACGAGGGGCTGTGGAGGGGGCAGCCATCAGCGGCAATTTGGGGACCGTTGAACTTGTTGGCCTGACAGGCGCGAAAGTCCCCCGGCGGGGCAGAGTCTGGAGCTGGGGGTGGGGAGGTGCGCAGCGCGGCGGGGCAGCCAGCGGAGGATGGGGGAGGGAGCAGGGTCTGGCGGGCCCGGGCCGCGGAGGGGCGGGGGGTGGGGAGCGGACGGGACGCGGGATCCGGGGCGGGCTGCTGGGGCCGGGGTGGGGGGCGGAGGAGTCTAACCCCCGCCACTCGCCCACCCTCAACCCACTCTCCCGCCCCCCCCCCGGGCCGGCTTGCAGGTCTGGTTCAAGAACCGCCGCGCCAAGTGCCGCCAGCAGCAGCAAAGCGGGAACGGAACCAAGAGCCGCCCGGTGAAGAAGAAGTCCTCCCCGGTGCGCGAGAGCTCGGGCTCCGAGAGCAGCGGCCAGTTCACGCCGCCCGCCGTGTCCAGCTCGGCCTCCTCGTCCAGCTCGGCGTCCAGCGCCTCCGCCAACCCGGCGGCGGCCGCAGCTGCGGGCCTGGGCGGGAACCCGGCGGTGGCAGCCGCGTCGTCTCTGAGCACGCCGGCGGCTTCGTCCATCTGGAGCCCGGCCTCCATCTCGCCTGGCTCGGCGCCCGTGTCCGTGCCCGAGCCGCTGGCCGCGCCGAGCAACGCCTCCTGCATGCAGCGCTCGGTGGCCGCCGGGGCGGCCACGGCCGCCGCCTCCTACCCCATGTCCTACGGCCAGGGCGGCAGCTACGGCCAGGGCTACCCCGCGCCCTCCTCGTCCTACTTCGGCGGCGTGGACTGCAGCTCTTACCTGGCGCCCATGCACTCGCACCACCACCCGCACCAGCTCAGCCCCATGGCGCCCTCCTCCATGGCCGGCCATCACCACCACCACCCGCACGCGCACCACCCGTTGAGCCAGTCTTCAGGCCACCACCACCACCATCACCATCACCACCACCACCAAGGTTACGGGGGCTCGGGGCTCGCCTTCAACTCTGCCGACTGCTTGGATTACAAGGAGCCTGGCGCTGCCGCTGCTTCCTCCGCCTGGAAACTCAACTTCAACTCGCCCGACTGTCTGGACTATAAGGACCAAGCGTCATGGCGGTTCCAGGTCTTGTGAGGCCCTGGGAGTGAGAGGAAGAGGAGAAGAAACGCAACTACCTGCGCCCTCTGTGGTCCCCGTCCTGTTGCTGCTGCACCGCCCGCCTTGGCCTCAGCTTCTCCAAAACTGAAGTTTTCACCGCCTCAGAACCTAATGCCCATTGCCCGCACCGCCGCTCCCATCTTTGTGCCACCTGTTTTGTTTTGTTTTTTTTTGGGGGGGGATGCAAACCTGCCCGCCCCTTGGATGGGGGGGAGGGGGCGGTGATCGCTTTGGCCCATGTTCTTTTACTGGATAGCTGTGTGCTGTCCCAACCCCTACGGAAATCCTGACACCCTACCCCCCCCCCACCAGCCCCTTCCAGTCGTTCTGGACAACTAACAATGCACTTGCAGCCTTCCAGGCTCTTCCTTTCGACCCTCTGTTTGAGCTCAATACTTAAATTTATTCTTTCTGGACCCTGGAGTCTCGAACCGGCGCCTATCTACGCCTTGGCGTGCGCCCACAACACTGCTCCGAATCCAAACGACCACTTAAAAGTGTTTCTGGCCCCCACGGACTGTCATCTCTTCAGCTGCTTCCACCCCGCTCCCCGCCTGCATGCCAGCGCTCCCCGGGCGTTTCCTCCTCCCCAGTGGGGTGCGCTGGGCACCGCGGGCAGGATCGCTCCCCGGTCCCCCCCCACCCCCCCATCGCACAGCCTTGCCCCGCGCCCTGCGCTGGACTGGTTGAAGCTTCCGCCTCGCCTCGGCGGGAATGCTGTACATAGTCAGGTCCGTTCCAGGGACCACTTAAAACTTTTTAGTTGCTGTTGGTTGAACTGAGCATTATTCACGTCTTAGCGCCCAAGAAACTTTAAGATATATACAGCACATTATATATATACATATATATATATATAAAACAAGAGCAAAAGCTATTTTCCCTTTGTCCCTTCCCCCCCCCCCAATCGATGGCGCTTTTTATTTTTCTGTTGCTACAAAGCTGTCCGGCCCTCTTCACATCTTCTCCCTCTGTGTATTTATTAAGGAGAACCGCTTGGTTCCAGGAAGCTGGGCGCGGAGGATCAGGAGTGTGGAGGAAACAGCCATATTAGGGTACCAGGGGGGGTACTGGGCTGGGGCATGAAGCTGAGTCCTCTCACCCCTCCCAAGTGCCGGGGCTCGATTCCAGCATAGACACCCCAGGCCAAAAGGCACAAACAAAAACAAAAAGACGAGATTTCAGCATTGTGGAAATAACAGACCCAGGCCCCAAGCCCCCATCCCTCTCCTCCGTCGGCTTCTCTTCCATCCTCCTTGTTTTGTCTAGTGAGGTCCCCGTGCGCCTTCGTTCTCCCAAATCTGCGGAGAGCCCTGCACGCCAGTATATCAATTTTGGTTTCGGCCGCTTCGTCCAGTAGGTGGGAAAGTAATTTGTAAATTTGATTTGTCCGATGTGAAGATCTCAAATTACTTGTTGAAATGTAAGGCAGTCCCCTTCCCTCCTCTTTACATTATTGCCCCCCCGAAAATAAATGCAAATTAATGAACGGCTTGTCAGTGTTACTCTTCTGATTCCAGCCCCAGGTCCTGGTCTTGGGGGTCTAAAGGCAAAGAACACTGCGCTAATAACCCGCGTGAATCTGGAGGCCAAAGAATGGGGTGGGAGGACGAACCCCTCCAGAAACGTTCGTTTAGGGAGTGTCTCCTCCCACCCCTGCGTCAGCCTGGCCTCCCCCCCACCCCCCATCCCCAAGGTTTTGACCCCGAATTTCCCTCACCATCCAGGACAGAGACAGGTGTCAGGACTCAATTCCTTTCTCTTCAGAGGCAGGAGCCTGGCACTGATTTCTTCACCCTAATTGCCTGCACCAGCAAGCAGAGGGGGAGGGGAAGAGGGTCGGGAGGCGGGAAAGGGGAGCTCTGTCGTGCGCTCCGAGCTGAGCCAAAAAGGAAAACAAAAACGACCCCCCCCAAAAGAACCCCAAAACAAAACAAAACAAAACCCCGATCTGTGTCCTGCATGTTGGCACAGACAGCCTTCCTTTCAGCTGAGCTGTCCCGGGCGTCTTCCCGGTGGCTGGAGACCCACGAGATGACGGGGACCACGTGCTGATGGCCCTCCAACCCCCGGCCCGCGCCAGCAGGAGCCAAAACACCTCTGTTTGTATGGTAAAGTTTCTTTAAAACATACAAACAGAACCACTGGGAAAGCTGAGAGGACGCGGTGTCTGTCTTTCTTTTTAAACTTTGGCAGGGGAAGAAGAGGCCCAGGATTGCAGTTGGGACTGGGGAAGGAGGGGGCTCCACCTGTCTCTGAGGGCAGATGGAGATGGGGGGGGCTCCCCCCAGAACGTCTAGAGCCGCACACCGTCCAGCCTCGGTTGTGGCCTGGAAGCTTGGGGCTTGTAAGGCCGAGAAGCTGCTCGATCTTGTCTCAGGCAGGAAGGAAATGAGGAGAGAACGAAAAGTTTGCTGCGAAGTGACCAACACCCCCTATTCTTCAGACTCCACGTGAGACCCGAGCCGCAGAGTAGAGCGGGGGTGGGAGAGCGACCCCTCCCGCAGGGTCCCGCACCCGCGAGGTCACAGGGTTGCGGGCCCTGGGCAGTTGAAAAGCTTCAGCCGCGTCCTCCATCGGGATCTGGTGGGCCTGGCTCGGGTCCACCTTTTCCTCGCCGACCCGCCTGGCCTCCGCCCGGAGG